AGTAAACCCACCCATCCCACCCAGGGGAGGGCATCCATCACACAGTAATCTCGTGTGTGGGAAATTAAACGTCTCCTACCCCCAACCCTGCCGGAGACGGGACCTCCATTTATTCGTCCCTATCCGAGAAGACTGGAATATCTAACCATTTCTTATAGAAAGGTAGCAAATTCTTCTCAATTATTTTAAGACCTTGAGTGTTGGTCCAGCCAGGGCTCGAACCCTCGACCTCCCGCACAACAGTCCAGCGGTCTATCCACTTAGCGGCAGGATTATAACAGTCATTTCTCACTCTTCCTATCCTTTCTACATCAACAACTTACGACCCTCACTTCTTTCGGCATCACTCCCTTAAATCTCATCCCGCTTTTACTTCAGCCTCTATTGGCATCCAGTTTTTTTTTTCTCTTTGGTTAGGTACCACAAGTTAGGTCCTTTCCTATTGGAAACAGCTCTCTATTAGATGATGGCTGCAGAGGCTGTGCTCTATGTAATTCTTAATTCGTGTCATTTTTTTGTTTTTTTGTTTTTCATGCATGATATGACTTAATTTTATTCTTAAGTAGGTAATATTCTTTGTAAATAATGTTTATCCATTTTATTTTTGTCCCCACATTGGTATGGGATATCTCCCAAACTAGAAGATTCTTTGACACGTTAACAAAGATCACGAAACGTCATGTGCGGTCACCAAGCTGAAAGACTAAACAATCCGCCATATTGACAACATGTGCGGTCACCAAGCTGAAAGACTAAACAATCTGCCATATTGACAACATTTAAACAGCCTGAGGAAGACCAATAAAACTGGTCGAAACGTCGGTTTAAAAGATATTTTAACCTCGGAAAATCCCAGAAACGATTAAAAAAATTCAAGTTTTACAAAAATGAGCGGTGAAAGTTTCAGGAATACGAATAAAGTTTCTTTCTCACACACCTCTGGGAGCCATAGTCTAGCTGACCGCCGCCAACTGACTCTTTTATTTCTCAAACCAATACAGCCCATCATTATACGTAATGTAGGCAACATACAGTAATATTAAAAGAACCGTTACAAGCTCAGTAAGACTCTATGCTGAAAGTCTTAATAAAGAATATCTAACCTGCAGATTGTATGTTATCAACTCAAACGAAGGGTTGGGCGGGAACTGGGGCTCAAAAATACACGTCAGTAATGGCGGACAGCAGAGCAGCAACTGATAAAATATACTGAGCACGTGACTCAAAACACACCCTCGGGCCCAGGCCCCAGAGGTGTGTGAGAAAACATTTTCCACTTATTTCTTTCCTCAGCCAGTGGAAAATACAACATCTATCTATCTATCTACCCCACCAACATTTTGTTGCTTCTCCCTCATTGCTCACTCTCCTGCCTTCTCTACCTCTTCTTCCTTTCAAATTCCTCCTCTTTTGATATCCCACCTTACATCCTTCCCAAACTATTACCCATCCAACCAATCTGCTCTCACTCCCTCCAATTTTCTGATGCAGTCCTTCCTCCTCCTGCTCCCATCTCCATCCCTCCCCCTCTCTCCTAGTCTTTGCCATGTCATCCATCTTTTCACACTCCCTCCCTTTGATCCTGTTCCCATATTTCCCTTCCTTTCTCCATCTCCCTTCTCCTTCTCTCCCATCCTTTCCTCTCCCTTGCAACCTCTCTCTCTCTCTCTCTCTCTCTCTCTCTCTCTCTCTCTCTCTCTCTCTCTCTACAATTCTTACTTATAGCAGTTTCTCACCTGAGGCCAAGTTTACTTGTAAGTAAATCCCTATATTTGTAAGCTCCACCACCTTCCAGGAAAAAAAAAAAAATAGTTGGTCCACTATGTAAGTAAAGGTGACTTATCAAAATTTACAGGCCTTGTGTGCAGAGGGATAAGAAGTTCATCCCATCTGTGTATGTAACAACACTGAATTTAATAAGGTAAGACCAAAAGCTAGAAAATTTCCATTCATGAATATGTTTTACAATTTAGAAATGAGAGCAGCATATGGAAACCAGGAAGTAATTCAAGTGGAGGTCCACAGGACAAGGGATCTCAGCTTTCTTACATATCAATGTCGATTTATAGTGGCTTGACCGCCCGGCCTTGAATGTGATCTACGGTAAAGGATACCTTCTATAGAACTGCTTACTGGTATGAGGCGGCCATAGAAACAGTCTACATGAAGTGTCCCAGAAAAATCCTTCACACTTTACACCCTAACATTAGCATGCATTATTCTCCATACTGTTCTTCATACTTTTCTAAGAGCTTTTTAAGATTTGTGATAATTTGCTTAATTCTCATGAACATAATGCTTGATTCAACAGTGATTTCTTAGTGAGAAACTACATGTTTGTTACCCTTAAGGGCTTAGGGCTTAACCTTTGTTGACAAGATGGTGGTATTCCAACCAAGTGAAAATTCAAAGAGGAGCTCTCAGGAAAATGCAGGCAGCCTACCTGTGGCTTTAAGTGCTCTATCTTTACTGATGGCAGATAGGATGTTTTCTTGAATAAAATTGACGCACATCTCAATATACTTTGTTTCAAACTTGATGAAGTGTAATCTGAGGCTGGACTCTTGGTCTTCGTTGATCTCATATATGTGCCCAGCTGATGCACTTCTGTCACACTGGGAAGATGAGAAAATTATATGATTGCAATATTTGGAATTGGCTCAAGAAACATATGAATCCAGCCTTTCTAGCTTTGTTTCACCAACAATTTTATGACAATGAACAGTTCTTCAGTATAAAACCCCTCAAGACATGGACACAAAAAATTTAGAAATAAAAGTTAGAAATAAAGACACAAAAAGATTGCCAAAAAACAAAACTAAAAAAAAGTTACAAAATTAGAGCTCATACCCCTCTCTCCTGATCCTCATCATCACTCTTATTAGTAAAGCTGTAATGCCGCTTTCTGATGTACCTCACTTCTGACATGTATGCCACCTTGGCAAGAGACCCACCTGAGGTGCAGATAACAAAGAAAATTAACTCAATTCCAAGAAAAGACCCCTCAGCCCACCTCACCGTTTTAAAAGAAGTAGGCGACCAATACCTCCATTCACTTATTAATTTTTTTTAATTTTTTTTTTTGGAGGCGGAGAACAGAGCAGGCGAGCTAGTGAAAGAAGTGGAAAAACAAATTATGCACA